CACAGGGACAGGTGGGCAGGCGGCACAGCCTCCTGTTGGGGCGCCCCCAATCTCGCTGCCTAGGGGGCCAAGCGGGGACCTGGGGGGCCCGGAGAGCCCCCCGGGGGAGGCGAACGTGGCTCCGGGCTCTGGACGGAGCTGCGCGGCCTGGAAGACATTACACGGCTGTCGGCCGGGGGGCGTCGCTCGGAGTTCCGGAGGGGGTCCCGGCGGCGGACGCGCCGGGTGAGGGGACGGCCCCGCCACAAAGCGCGCTTTGTTCTGCGCTCCCCCCGGGAGCTGGAACCAATGGATTGGCGGCAGCTGAGGTCATCTGTCAGGCAGAGCCGGGGGTCAGGCCCGGGGAAGGGGCCGCGAGGGCGGGCGGGGCGGAGGAGCCGGCGGGGTCGGTGTGTGCGGGCCCATTAACCGGGCTGCTCTCGCCAGGGGCTCTGCAGCAGGTCGCGGCTCCTCTAGAGGCCTCATCTTATTCATCTGTCCCACAGGAAGGGTCATTTCTGTCCTGCCCACCTCTCGAGACCACTGTGTCAAGGATGGAAGGGACAATGATGATGGTGGGGGGGGTGGGGGAGTGAGAGGGGCTCTGTAAGGAGCTCTCCCCGCCTTCCTATTCTGTTGAAGTGCTACAGTCCGACCGGAACCCCGAAGGTTGGAAGCAAATGTGGTTTGCAGCACACAGTGCCTGTGTCTCAGGGCCTCTTCCTGGTTCCCTGCTTTGACCCGGGACGCCAGACTGGTCTGCCTTTTGCCAGGGCTGATAGGGGGAGCGGTCAAACCTGAGTCCTGGGACCCCCTTGATGAGCATCCTGGTGGGGGGGTCTGTTCCAGGGAAAGCAGGGCGAGGACCCTTTCCCCTGGCGCCCACCTAGATGTTGTTGCTGCCGGGAGGTACATCTGAGTCCCAATACTTTTTCCACCTCCCGTAAAACTAGATCTCCTTTATTCTGTCATTCACACCCCCTCAGCATGCACCTCGGTGTTCCCATCCATATCATGAGGCTATTAGGCTTTTTGATACCCTACACAGGGTCCCCTGGGGGGCAAAGCAGTCAAGTCCAGGGAGCCTGAGAAATTGCCCAAAATATCTGCATGTGTGCATTTATGGAGAAAGGACTCCTTAGGATTCTCAACTGTCATCATGACCCAAAAATGGTTAAGAAGAAGCACTGGTTGGGTGTAGGGGAGGCAAGAAGCCCCCCAAACAACTCTGCCACTCTGGACAACAGTTTGCCAGTGTCTAGAAGTTGCAAATTGAGCCATGTGTTGGCCAGGCTGTCCAGTCCTAGGGGTACAGCTGAGAGAGCACAGAGAGTGATGAGTGAAGGTGTTCACAGCAGCAAAATAACCGTAAACCCTCCAATGTCCATCAACAGGAGAATGACTAGTAAGTGATCATATTCAGACCATGGAAGGCCGTGCAACAATGAAAAGAATGAGGTCAACCTATATGGAACTCACTCATTCAACAGGTATTTTTGAACACTTATTACGTACTACTCATTGTTTTTGGCACTGGGCCTGCAGTGATAAACAAGACGGATCAAGTCCTGTCTCAAGGAGTTACATTTTGGGTGAGATAGTCGTAAACAGACACAGAAGATGATGTCACAGAATGTGATAAAGGCCAGGAAGAAAATGTAACTGAGTAAGGTGACAGAATGTTGGGGGACGGGGCTGTTTTAGACAGTATGGTCAGGGAAGGCCCCTCTGAGGAAGTGACCAGAATGGGAGACTTTGGGAGACCAAAGACACTAATGAGATAGATAGCTAGGGCACGTTGACAGGGAGGAAATGCAATCTGAGAAATAAAGTGAAAAAGAAAAACATTCTTTACTTACACACTAACACTACTAGAAAAGTTCTGGGAGGATATATGCCAAATTGATGATGGTAACTGTCCCAGCCAGGTAGGCAAAGGGACAGCCAAGACTAGGACTCATGGCAGACTTCAGCTTGCCTCTAATATTTTAATTTTTAAATATTTAATTACTTAGCATTTTAATATCTCAAAGTTTTAAAGGTGAATATATTCATGTATAATTTGTGAAATTTAAAAAGTGTTTAAATCTACCATGGTGAAGAGGTTTGGTTCTAGGGCAGTGAAGAGAAAAAGGGGTCCCTACACTACCTTCATTGGGCCCAAGCTCCTGGGGACAGTGGTTTGTTTGAGGAGGGGACCCCATAAGAGACATGTGGCTCAGCCTAGAGGATCAGGAAGCTTTTTGGAGGAGGTGCCACCTTTGCTGAGCCTGAGACTGGCTGGCTCAGCATCCCCAGACTATAAGACAGGCCTAGAGAAGTCATGACGTGTCCAAATACACAGAGCAAGAGTGGTTAGAATAAGGAGAACCGGAAACTATAAACTCCCAGCTTAGTCTCCTCATGCCTGGACCCTCTGCTTCTTCTGGTACCCGATGGGCCTTCTCTCAGCCAGGCCTCTCTGCCCACCCCACTTCCCACACACAGGCCTGTGGCCTAGAGGCCCAGCCTGGCTCCAGCAGGCCGGGAAGCATCGCCACCTGCTGGCCTAAAAGGGAAACGCTGCTCTCCGCCTCCACTGAAAACAACTAGGTCTCACCCTTCAAAACCCACCTCCTCTTCCTTAAGAATGACCAACCCCTCCCCGTCCAAGTCTGTTCTGCACCCCCAAACAGTATCTAGCAGGGCTCCTAGTGTTGCTTGCTTGAGTCTTATCTGCAAGAAGAGAAAACCCTTTCGGGAAGGGGCAACCATTGTGTCACTCTAGCCAATCCGTGCAGGTCATTACTCCAGTGAGACGGTGGCACCTCATGACAGCATAGTCTACAAATCAAGTCCTTTGATTCCTGACCCTTGCTACCAACCTTGGGGATAAACAGTCCATTCGACAGCTTGGAAAAAGCCCCCAGGGAAGGGCTTGTCCAACGCCACAGTGGAATGTGTGTGCAAGCTGGCCCTAGAACACGGGTCTGCTGGGAGCCAGCCTCGTGAGGGTGGAGGGGTGTCTCCATGTTTGAAAATAACTGACTCCCTCTAGATCAGGAATTCCCAGCCTACGGTCCCTGAACAGCAGCAGCAACAGTACCTGGGAACTTGTTAGAAAAGCAAATCCTCTTCCCTCAGTGGTGTGGCTCACAGCTGGCTGGGCATTGCCCCGCAAAGCAAAAGGTCACTGGTTCGATTCCAGATTAGGGCACATGTCTTGGGGGTTGAGGTGTGCATGAGAGGCAACTGTTCAATGTTTCTCTCCCTCACTTTCTCCACCCCTTTACCCTCTCTCTAAAAATAAATAAAATCTCTCTTAAAAAAAAAGCAACCTACCGAAATAGAAACTCTGGGGGTGGGGCCTAGCCATCTGTTTTAACAAACTAGTTTGAGAACCTGAACCACTGGTCTAAAGCAATTACACCCCTCTTTTTATTAAATAAACTTTTATTTTGGAATGATTTTCGATTTACAGAAAAGCTGCCAGGATAGTACAGAGAATTCCCAGCCTCCCGCAACGTCAATATCTTACATGGTACTAAGTTGTCAAAGCTAAGAGACTGACATTGGCGTGTTATTATCAACTAAAATCCAGGCCTTATTCAAAGTTCCAGTTTTTCCCACTAATGTCCTTTTTTTGTTCTAAGATCCAATCCAGGATATTACACTGCATTTAGGACTACATTCCTCTTAAATTCTATTGAAATTGTATCTTTCCCTGGGAGAGGGAATGGGCAGGAGAGTTGTTGTCTCCATTACTGAACTGGGGAGACTGAGGCTTGAAAATGCCACGTAACCAAGATCCCTTAGCAGGGTAGGGCCTGCCTCAATCTCTGCCCTTCCTCTAAGTCTTTCCTTCCCCCCAGGATTCTTGGCTTTCAGATGCCCCTTTGGGAGGTCGCACTTGACCTACCCCATCTCACCAGCACAGATAACGAGATGCCCCTCCTAGAGTGGGCCCCGCCCTGGGAGCAATCCACCCCACCCTGATCAACTCTTCCCCTAGATCTGAGGGCTGGAACAATGTCTAGTGACTTCAGCCTGGGCAGAGCAAGAGAGAGAAACACTGCTATGTGCCCATGCAAATCATTTAGGATAGATGAAAAATGCCACCATTTTCAGTTTCTCTAGGGGGAATAGTCTCTCTCCCCACCCCTTGAATCTGGGCCAGCCTTATGATTTGCTCTGACCCAAAGAACTTAGCATAAGTGATGTTGTACCAATTCTGGACCTAGAACTCAAGGAGCCTTGCAGCTCCTACTCTCATTCTCTTGGAATCCTGAGGCCACCCTGTGATTAAGCCTGAGCTAACCTGCTGGAGAAGCCACACAGAGAACTAGTCACCCAGCCGACAGCCCGCCAACTGCCAGGCAAGTGAGTTAGACCATCCGAGACCCATCTGAGGTGACAGCTGACTGCACGCGGTCCCAGGAGTCACCCTAGGTGACATCAGAACTATCCAGGTGAACCCAGTCCAAAATGCCAAACCACAGGATTGTGGGCAAATAAATGACTTGTTTCTAGCTGCTACGTTTGAGGATGGTATGTTAGACAGCAAAGGCTAACTGGTAACAATTACTCATTTCCCTCTCGGTAGTGGGATTCCAATTTTATTTCAGGAGGCAGTGTGCCAGTCCCAGGAGATGGGATGTGATCAGTCCACTCAACTGTGACAGTTTTGTTCCCTGCTGTCTTAGCTTTCTTTACTTCTGGGTGTGACAATGGTAGCTGGTTTGTGTCAAGGAATCCTAAGTGGAAATGTGTAGGGAATAGATCAGGAAAAAGACCTCCGAGAAAGGTTTGACTTTAGGATAGAAGTTGACAGGTCCCGCTGGCTCAGCCCTTCCTTCTCCCCACTACTTGCTTCCTTGAACATGGCCATGATCCCTAGAGGCACAGCAGCCATCCTGTGACCGTGAGCAACAAGTAATGAGGGAAAGTCTGAAGGGACTACAGAGATGCGCGCCGTACCTTCGCTGAGTTGTTAAACCAGTGCTGTTAGTCACCTGTCTCTAGAATTGATAGGAAAAAAAAAACTTCTCCTTGTTACACTACATTTTCCTTTGCTTAGAGCTCAATGTATTTCACATAATTGGATATACAAAGATGAAAATGCAAAGGATCTTGTCCTTGAGAATCTGGAGCCAGCAGCCTGTGGTTCTCCAAACCCATCTCCTTTCTCATTTCATCCTCTCAATAATCCCTCAAAAGCAAAGACATGACCCATTTTCACAGTGGTGGGAACTGAAGCTCCCGCACCGTTTGGCAGTAAATCCAAGGTCTTGCAGCTTAGCAAAGAGGGCGCTTAGTGTCAGACCCTCTTCCCTCCAGGCAGAGAACGCTCCCCTGCCACACCGTTGGCATGGTCCAGCTTGCTGGAAGCGAGGTATGTCTCCTGGGCTTTTGGGACTGGTGGCAGGTGCCAAGGAGCCTGCTACTGCAAGTCTGGTGTGGAAGCACCCAGGTACACCCTTAGGTCCGAGATGGTGGACTGGACAAGCTTGGCAGGGATGGTCTCTCGCTGTAGCTGCTGGTAGGCCGCATACCGGTGGCAGCCCCCGAAGGAGTAGAAATAGTCACCACCCTGGGCTCCTTTGATCCAGAGGACATCGATGGGGGGCACACTGTCTGGGTCCTCCTGGGGAGAAGGGGGCACAGGGTAGATGAGTACGGAACAACGCTCGATAGTTTACAAAGCAGACTTTGTTAATCTATGTTGAGCTCCTACACGGTGAGCACACTGGCTCACGCTAGCTTGTGAGACACTAACAAATGTTCAGGAATTTTGTGAGTTGGTTGACATCACCTTGGTAGCTTGAAATTCAGCCATGGTGAGGGTATTTACACCAGGGAAATGGGCAGATGCTACAAATCAGGGCTCTTCCTCCCTAGATTCCAGGTTGTTGAATATTTATCAACACACCACATGCATATATATCTGCATATATATACACACATACCATATAGCTATGGCACTGTTCTAGACTCTGGGAATAAAGCACAACCAGAATGAGACAGACACAGCCCCTGCCTTCATGGGTTTTGGTCTAGTGGGACAAATGGAATGCAGAAGTGAGTGTTAGAGAGAGAAATGCTAGGAAGACAATAACACCATGCCATGCCACGACAGGGATGGGGGCCCACAAGGCCTCTCTGAGGTGACGGTGGAGCAGAGAACTGAAGACAGAGAAGCCCACTTGGAAAGGAAGAGAATTGGAATAGCTTAGAGTAAAAGCCTGACTGCCAGGTTTAAATCTCAGCTCTGCTACTTAGCCCCTATGTGACCTTGGACAATTAATCTCTTTGTGCCTAAATTGCCCCATCTATCAAATGGGGATGAAGAAAAAAATATATATACACCCCCCCCCCCCCAACACATTGCACTTCAAACAATGCCTGGCGGTACAGGCAAAGCTACGAGCCAGGGCTCTGGAACCAGGCAAACCTGAGTTTGAATCTCAGTTCCTCCAAAGAGCAGCAGCGGACCCTGAGCAAGGGGGAGTAAGACACTCCACAGGGCTGCTGATGAAGGGTTAAGAAGCTGATGCACAGAAGGCACAGAGCACAGCCCGCCCGGTAGTGGAGCCCTAACGAGGGGCAGCTGTGCTGGGTGCTGGTGGCACAGTGGTGGGTGGATGGGCAGAATAACAGCCCCCCCAAATGGCCACATCCTACTCCCTGGAGCCTGTGAATATGTTACTTACATGGCATAAGGGACTTGACAGATGCAATTAAGGATCTTGACAAGGGAGATGTTGCTGGCTTTGAAGACTGAGCAAAGATGCTGTGAGCCAAGGATTGTGGTGGCTTCTAGAAGCTGAGAAAGGCAAGGAAGTGGATTCTGCCCTAGGGACTCTAGAGAGGAATGTAGCCCTGCTGACAACTTGGTTTCAGCCCAGTAAGACCCATTTGGACTTCTGATTAGAGAATAACAAACTATATTGTTTTAAGCCACTAAGTTTCTGGTACTTTGTTACAACAGGCACAGAAAACTAACACCTATGGTGAGGAAAGACAGGTCTGATTCTCACCCTCATAGAGCATATGGTTCTAGCATGGAAGACAGGTTTTTAAATAGCTCATGAAAAGCCAGTGGGTTCAGAACTATGCTGGTGGGCATGCAGGAGGCCAGGGGCCCACGGGAGGCCCCTAACCCAGAGGGGAGCCATCAGGGAAGACGCTGGCCTTAAGAGAGGAAGACTAAGGAGTTGAAAATAATGAAGAGATGGCAGAGTGTCCCCACCAGGGTAAAAAGCCTGTGCAAAGGCCCAGGGTGGGACACAGTACGCAAGACTACATCCTCCATAAACAGCCAGGCACTGGGCTAGTGTTGAGGGAACAGCCATGAGGTGGGGCAGACAAGGGAACACGAACAAATAAATGTATCATATAATTTCATGTGGACATAAGTGCTTCATGGGGAAATATCTCAGGTTAAGGGGACAGATGGAGAGGCCAGGGTTCCCTTAACCCAGATGGACAGGGAGGCGGAGGCCTGAGCCAAGCACCAGCGCGGGCCCTGGAGCTACCTGGGGAAGCAGTTCAGGCAGCGGAGCAGCAGTGCAAACTCTAGGACTGAGAGACATTTGGGGGAGCTTATAGAGGTGTTTGGTGCAGCCCCGGGTCTCACACAGTCACCTTCCAAGGGCCTGAGGGAAGGGGACAAGCTGCCATGCAGGCTTCACCTGACACATACGTCCCCTCCCTTCTCAAAAGTTCCTTCCAGGGTCACGCCTGCATTCTCGAACATCCCCCTTCATTGATGGGGCCGCCCCCATCAAGGGGGCTGTCCTCTCCCTGTTCTGATTCAAACAAGGCCCTCCCAGCAGACGTGACATGCCGGCATCCCCTGCCACTCACTTGTACAGCCAGAAGTGACAGCACAGCTTATCTCCAGATAGTATGGTGGCCATGCTGCTGGGCACCAGGGCCGGGCTGTGTCACTTTTTAAGTGTCTGACCTTGAAAAAGTTGCTTAAATCTTCCCGTGCCTCAGTTTCCTCATCTGTAAAAGAGGAACAATGGTAGTATCTACCTCATAGGGTTGGCATGAACAAGCTAAGGCACTTAAAACTGCTCTTGGGACACTGAAAGTGCTATCGTTATGTTATCGATCCTTATTTTAATCATCCTGTCAATCCCCTGCTTGCTCAAGTAAGGCAACTGAGGCCCAGAGAGGCCCAGCCAGTTGCTCAAGGTCACACAGGAAAGGCAGTGCTCCAGCGGAGCCGGGAACCAGCCCCCTCTAGCGTCCTGTGAGACTTGGTTCCTCCGGCACCTCCCTCCGACGGACGTTCCCGGGGCCTCACCCGGATCGTGTCCACAAGGCTCTGCACCTTGGCCGGATCCAGCACAGACGGCAGCGGCCGGATCAGCACGCTCAGCGGCACGTTGTGCACCGCGGAGATGCAGCCCGAGTGGATGCTGCCGCCCTGTGCGCCGCCGCTGGGCCCGGGTCCCTCGGGCGTCCCCCGGCCCGCCCCGGCCCTACCCAGTGCTCTTCCTGCTCGCAGGCCCATCGCGCCGCCGCCGCCGCCGCCGCCGGCCGTGCCGCCTCCGCCCCCACCCTCCCCACCCGGGACTTTAACCCGGCTGGGCCATACCATTCTGTGCAGGCGGGCGGGGGCTCGGGCCAGGGTGCCTTTCTTCCCAGACTCGGTTGGTGGTCCGGTCGCATCCCGGAGCCCCAACACCCGACGTCGGCTCGGCTCGCGGGGAGCGGCGGAAGCCGTGCGGGTCTCCGGCTCTCCGCTGGGGGGCGCCTCGTCCTCTCCCCTCTGCCGCGTGGAGTCCCGGGAGTGGAAGCGCCCGGACCGGCTGACTCAGGGTGAGTCTGCAAGTCGTGGGGCGGGAGAGCGCGGGTGACGCACAGTCCGGGGTGACTCAGGTCCGCGGGGTCCGGGGCGGGGACAAGGGGGGGCGGTGACCGAATATGTGGAGCGAGGATGAGTCGGCAAAACCCACAGTACTTGGCTTCCCGACATTCAAAATCCTATGGATAATAGCCCTGGAGGTGGTAATGACGCCGACGACAGTAAAACCACGAATCTAGTACTGTATCAGACACTGTTCTAAACACTTTGCTTGTATATCAACTTACGTACACCTCAAAACAGTCCTGTAAGTTAGGTAGGACTATTATTCCCTTTTTCCATGTGAGGAAACTGAGACACAGTGAGTGATTTGCCGAAGTTCATGGAGCTAGAAAGTGACTGAAACAGGGTTCAAATCCAGACAGGCTGGCTCCCGGTGCGCTCCCTACACCACCGCTGGTTGCCTCCGTTCAGCAAAAGTGACTGTCACAAGGAGCCTTCTGGGATCGTGCTGACAGTGTGTGGACACTGCCCTGAAGTTCCACATTGTCTCATCAAATCCCGACAGCACTGCTAGTGGTTATTGTACCCCTTGTCTAAGGTACAGCAGTCAAAAATGGAAGGTCACCTGAGGCCAGAGCCCCGAGCCACTGAACCACAAACGCCTGCTTACAGAGGAGGACCTTGAACCTTCAGAGGATGGTGGTAATGACTTAGATCCAGACATGCTGACTGCCTGACCCATTCTCCTCTCTTTAGAGTCCTCTGTCCCCTTGGGCCCATGTTCAGCATTGAGTGTCCTCTGGGGCCAAGGAGAGGTATGCAGAGGCTCCTGGTTTAAATTCCAGGTTCTTATCAGCCTCTATGTTAATATTAAGACTTTGGCACAGATTCGGCTCTTCTGTAAAGTAGTTGTTTTGGGGACACGCAGAGATAATGGCTGATGGAGGGCAGCGTGGGGGTTAAATTAGGGCATAGTAGTTGGCCAAGTACATAGTGATAACCAAAGAAGGTGACTGGTTTTATCATGAACACCCAGGATGCTTAAGGAGAGGCTATGTTTGACTGAGAGCATCAGGGAAGGTTCCCTGGAGGAGGTGCATTCAGACTGGAAAATGGCTTGGTCCTGGAGAGGGAGAGGAAGAGGGAAGAAGTGGGTGATGTATAGGCTCCAGAATCACTGGAATTGCATGGATTTGAATCCTGGCTGGACCACCAGCTGTGGTATCTGGGGACAGGGGTGGTTATTCAACTTTTCTGTGCCTCAGTTTCTTCCCTGAATTTCCAGGGGGAGTAAATGAGAATAGCACAGTAAGTATTTAGAAAGGTACCTGACACCTGACACTAGAAAGTACTGGATGAAGGTAGATGTGAAGGACATTCCAGCCACAAGATCAGCTGAGCAAAAGCAGGGAGGTGGGACCATTGCAGATCCGGTTGAAGACAGGCAGGTCTGGCTTGGTTGTCCTCCTCACCCTGATCGGCACCGGCCTGGGGAATGCATAGCCACCCTCTCAGCTGGCGAAAACAAGGAATGGTACCCACTGGGCCGGGGCGCTGCTACATGGGCCAGTTGCTGACACTTTCTGAACCCTCTACAAAATGAGGTAATGTCGCCCATCACTCAAAGTTGTTACGAGTGTGAATTGAGAAGGTGTACATAGTAAGTGCTCAGTGTGTAATACCCATTTTACTGTTGAAGATTGTTTGTGTTGGGTTCTTAGTCTCTTGCAAACCCTGGAATGCTGAGGCCATCAAAATGGAACCCCTGTGAACAACCTAATCATACTTTGCTTTTGGAAGGAGAACCAACACCCATACCGCAGCCCCAGAATTACTGAGAATTAGAGAATTTCATCAAGAGGGAAGTTGTCCCTTCTAGAATCACTTCCTCATTACTTCCTCAATAAGAAGAGGCAGGAGAACAGCATCTGGAATGGGAAAAAATGGAGATTTGACCCAAATCTCTCATTGTGGTAGGCCCAGTGAGGCCCCCACTCTTGGTACCAAGTTCTGTATGGTAAGATGCCTGTCGTTCAACTCAAAAATGGCTTAAACAGTAATTAAAATTTGTTTATTTCCAAAAATGTTTGGTGGTAGGTGTATCCATGGTTGGTAGAGTAGTTGATCAGTGTCATCAAAGACCCAGGTTCTTTCCACCTTTTCGTACCGTTGTGCTCCACACTCTGGTTTTTATCCTCAGGCTTGCCCGCCGTGGTCCCAAGATGGCTGCTGTAGCTCCAAACATCACATCACTGTAAAACAACTTTCAAAGGTAGAAGGTAGGATATCCCGTTGTGCCTCTTCAGAGTGAAGGAACCTTTACTAATCACTGCCTTCCCTCCTACCCGCTAGCCCAGGAGCCTTTTCCTCATAACTCACTGGCAAGAATTACATCATGTCTGTGTCTAAACCACTCCCTGGCAAGGGGAGTAGAGTTACCAAGGCAGGCTTGGCTTAACTGTCATTCACCTACGGACTTGAGAAGGTTTACCTTCCATGGAAGTTCATGGGCCCTGATCTCTGAACACAGCTGGCCAGGCCTGGTGGCTGCAATCTCGTTTTCCTGTGGGGAACTTCCTTTCCCCACTCTCCAGACTGTGTGGTTAGTGGGCCAGACCCCATGGCCAGGGAGTGGGGAGGGGGGGGCAAAAAGAAAGGAGCACCTGACCAGGCCTACCCAATCAGCAGTTGCATTGTATTGGCCTAGCTGTCCCTGAGTCGGTGAGATTGAGACTTAAGCCTCTTGTTGAGATTAATATGAGGTGCCTTCCACTGGAGCTAACGTAAGTCTGGAACTGGAAGCTGGAGCAATTTTGAGATATATGCAATATCCTTTTGTTTTAGTTTGGATTCTCTCAAAAGTAGACCCTGAGATAAAAACTTGTGCGAAGCTAGTTTACTTGGGAGATGTTCTAGTTATTATTGCTGTGAAACAAACCACTCCAAAATTTAGTGGCATAAAACATCCGTTTTATTATCCTCACAAATTCTGGGTCACGAAATCAGTCAGGGCACAGTGGGGACGGCTTGTCTCTTCTCTGCAATATCTGGGCCATCAGCTGGGAGGTGACTTGATAGCTGGGGCTGGAATCATCCGGAGGTGACTTCATTTACACGTCTGGCAGATGGTCCTGCCTGTCAGCCAGAACACCTCCATGTGGCCTCTCCATGTGGCCTGGGCTTCCTCACAGCATGGTACCAGCTTCCAAGAGCTACTTCCCCAAGAAAACCTGGCAAAGACTTCATGGGCTTTTCCAGCCTAGTCTTGGGAGTCATACAGAATCATTTCTGCAGCATTCTATTTATGGGAACTGTCACAAACCCACCCTGTACCCCCAGGCTCAAGGGACAGAACAGAGACTCTGTTTCTTAATGGTAGAGTTGCAAGGTTCTAAAAGAGCTTGTGAGTGGGAAGTATTGTTGTGACCATCTTAGAAGACGCATCTGTTGTAGGAGCTGATCCCAGCAATGACTGGGGAAGGGGGAGTGGCAATGAAGGGCACGCGGATGGGCAGGTTAACTTGGTGGCAACTGGGGCTTACCCCTCCTGGGGACTCTGAGAAGAACATCGTGGATCATGTATCAATCAGTATTGTCCCTTGGAGGAAGAAATGGGGGTGGGACTGGACCTCTTTTATTCACTGACTCCTGTCTCTCATTGGTTGAGGGAGGCCTGAGAATGTTAAATCTGCCATTTCTGGGCTGCCCTGTACTTAAACTGCGCAAGCATCTGAGGACCCAGAGGATGACGCTGCCAGCTTATAGTGACCTCAGAGGTGGCCTAAGGGAATAAGGGGCAAGACATTGATACATTTCTTTTCTGTCCAGATCAGCTGGATTCATGTGTGTGGTTTGCAACAAAAGGCCCTAACTGCCTGTTCTCCCCATCCTGTTCCTAGGCTCCTGGCTCCTCCCTTCCCCCTTCACTTTTGATAAAAAATCTAGTCCCTCAGGCATTTATTTGGGTATGCAAAAGACTTCTGAGTGTGGGGGAGATGAAAGGGTTTGTGTGCCAGAAAAGGAACATTAAAATCTTATATTCCGCGACCCTTGAAATTCCCTAGTTCATTTCTACAACTTGGCTTACAGGGTTGTGCCCTGTTGCTTGGTGCCATTTTTTTCTGTTTTTTTCCTCCATCTTCTCTTTGTCCTCTCTACCAACCCATAAGTTCGTGTACTTATTTTAGGCAGAAAATTCGTCTCTTTCTTCTGTAGCTTCGGTGCTTGCTAGCCATCTCCTTAGGGGTCGAGAGGCAACTCTGCACTTAAATTACTCCTCCTCATAGTCACAGAATGACTGCTAGTGCCCACTGGGACAACCTTCTTCTTTGTTCATGCGTTAGCATAGGCTGCTATACCAAAATTCCATAGATTGGGTGGCTTAAACAACAAACACTTATTTATCACAGTTCTGTAGGCTGAAGTCTGAGATCAAGGTGCCAACAGATTTGGTGTCTGGTGAGGTTCCATTTCCTGGTTCTTCTTGCCATGTTCTCACATGGTGGAAGGGGTGAGAGAGCTCTCTGGGGTCTCTGCTTACAAGGGCACTAACCCCATTCATGAGGGCTCCACCTTCATCACCTTAAACACCTCCCCAAAGCTCCACCTCCAAGTACCATTATATTGGGAGTTAGGATTTCAACATAGAACTTTATTGGGACACAGACATTCAGTCCATGGCAGTTCACATCCAAGAGAAAAGAAAGAGACC